TTTTTTTTTTTTTTCAGCCTGTGCTGACCTCTGTGGGGTGAGCACAGACACTGTGCTGAGCTGTGAATGTTTCTCAGTGAGGAAGAAAGCATCTCAGATAGCATACCCGCTGTGTGTGGGAAGGACAGCCTGGAGAGTGGGGGACAGCATGCTGCTGCTGACCCCTTTCGTAGAGAGGACATCTCTTATACTCCTCACTGCCCAGACACCAGCTCTTCTGGGCACCTGCTTCCTGACTGGTGGCTGGTTAGGACTAGAGTCTTCTCCGGTCAGTATCCTGACCGTGCTCACCCCTGTCACCACGTGAAGGAACCCTTGGGATGAAGTGTGCAAAGTGTGACCGTCAGCAGCCAGACTCATCAGCCACGGTTGTGCTGAGCGCAGGGTGGCTTGTCTACAGCACTCATGTCAAGTGTCCCCAAAAGGCGGGACCAGTGGCAGTTTTAAGGAATGAGAGTGTCCGACCCAGCACCTCCCAGGCAAGGACCCTAACCCCGCACAGCTGTCTGCTGTTAGGAAGACCTTAAAACTGTTGTTGTCATTTGTGTCCTTAGGAAAAGCTTCAAGGGGCCACTGGCCCCTCTCTCTAACTAGTAAATAAAAGCCAATTCTTCCTAGAGCAACAGATGCTGGATTCTATCCAATTAAGAATTAACTGAGAGCTGAGGAGGCAAGGATGGAATGTGTCCTAACTGTATGAGTCTGTACTCTGGCTGGTTGTCTTTTCTCTTGTCTTTTCTGAGCACTATAGATAAGTCCTTCTAGATTCCAGTTACTATAGTATAGCAGAATCTTGGGGCACTGGACCTGTCAGGGGACATCACGTAGCTCCTGGGGCGCCTGGGCCCTGCCGGGCTCATGCTTGCTCACCTCCATATGGAAAGTAGACACCTCAGTGCCAGGTGCTGTGGTTGTTACAGAAAGTCATTGTTCCTGCACACGACAGCCAAGGCGAGGTGCCCATATTAGATTCTAACACTGGACACACATGTGCATCTCACAAAGAGTTCTGGGCCCTAACCACAGAGCTGTGGGCTCTCTCCCTTTCAGAGATAAAGAGATAAAGAGATAAAGATAAAGGCGTGGAGTAAGTATGCTCCGCCTATACCTCTTCCTCCTGTCCCAGACACTGCATACCATGCGCCCAGTGGTCTTCTGTGTGTAACCTCACAAGGGAATCTTTTTCGTGCCAAGTAGTCCACTTTTGCAGAGGCAGATGATGGCATGACTGAGGAGGGTCTAAAGAACAATGTCCCCCAGTCTCAGTGCCAGGAAAACTGGGCTTCTGAGCAAACATAACTGGCAATATTGCAGTGGTCTCACTTCTCACAGACCCTGTGACTTCCATCACCGAGCAGGGACCCTCTTCCCTGACTGCCACAAGGCAGTGCTAGCTGTGATAACACAGACCCACTTGCCCTGGGTCCCCAGGCCTGCCGGCCACACTCTTTTTATCCTGCTTCTCCCCCTATGCGGTTCATTCTTTTCTACTGGATAAGCCTCCCTGATTGTCTCTGCAAACAGGCAGCCATCTAGCTGGGAAGGTGTGCATTCTAGAGCTAAGCAGACAAAACACGGAAGCAGAATCATCTTCACACAGAATAGGGACAGAGTTCACTAAAGATTGCTTAGTCCACAGGCAACTAAGGACTGCTGAAGATGAGAAAATCAGTGTGCCCCAGGAATGAGGCTACCCGATACCCAAGTGGTCAGTCTTGAAATCATCCTATACATAAAAACAACACTCAACAAACTGAGCAAGTTGTATTTATGTGTGTGTGTGTGTGTGTGTGTGTGTGTGTGTGTGTGTGTGAATAACAATTAAGATAAAGAGGTCATGGAAGGGAGTGGGGAAGGATAGGGTGAGTTGGAGGGAGGAAAAGAAGGGGAATAAAATGACATAATTATATTCTAATTTTAAAAATGAAAAGTAAATCTTAAAAAATTAAAAAGAATGGTCTAGTCCTCCAACAGAATTTTTTTCTCTCTTCCCTCTGTCAAGCCTGAAAGCTTGAGCACTATTATGTAACAGCCAGGGGCACAGCCCCTGCCCTTACCCAGCACTGTCACTAGGCAAAGGGACTAAACTCCATGAACCAACAGACACCTGTCACGGCACTGGGCTAAAATGGGAGCACACTCTGTCTCGAGGAAGGGCTTCACCCTCTAAATCTAGACATCCTTAAAGGGGCATGTCACCCCAAAGAAGCTTGTTTAAAAAAAAAAAAAGTAACAATCAACATTTTAAGATACAAACTTTCTGTCATTGTAGAGAAAGACATTTTAGGAATACCATTTTGGATCTGTCAACAGTATTCATTTCAGGTTTTCCTGAAATGGTTGAGACAGGAGATTCCCTGGGAGATTGTGGGCCAGCCATCCTGGGGTGTGCTATGGCTAAGGGACAAAGTGCAAGGTCAGGACCAACACCTCTGACCACAAACACCTACACTCACATCCGAAGATGCCCCACCCACCCTCTCTGTTTGTCTCTCTCTCTCTTTCATCACACATGCATGAAAGAAAAGGTTTCTGTTGTTCTGTTTTGAACTAAAAGTGAAGTTTAGTTTTCACATGGAAGCTCGTGTGACAGCTTTGAGAGCTGTGAAGCCCAGGCTTGCAAGGTAGGCAGGATTGCAGGACGTCACACTATTTCTGCCAACAGCCCACTGGCACAACTCCATGGAGGACCTCTCCCAGCTGGGGAGCTGTGGGGGGTTGCCTCAGAAGTGTTTCCCATCTGACCAGCAAGCTCCCTCCAGGGCGCTCCCAAGGACATCTGGCTGGAGGTGACAGCCACTCATCAGTGGTTTCTCATGGCTTTGTGGCAGAGTGTTGTCCCCGAAGGCCCTCGGCCTGGCTCCTGCAACAGCGAGGGCTTCTTGCAGGCTCTCCCGAGGCTATGGGTAGGCTGCGAGGGCTGAAATTTCTACACAGACTCAGGTTGGAACTAGAATGCGTCCCAGGGCAGAAGAGCAGATCTGAGTGTTGTCACACAGCTCTGCTCTTCTGCCTCTGTCTCTACTGCCCTACAAATCTCACCTCTGCTGCTGCGGCCATCAGCTTGACAGACTTACCAACAGCAAACAGCAGTGAGCAGAACAGACCTACCATAACCTGGGCTCTCTGGCCTGGCTCTGTAATGATATCCCTTTCCCATAAACTTGTGAGGGGTTGGCTGGCTGAGGGATTGCCTGGCTGCAGAGGCATCCAGGAAGGCAAGTTTGGGGACCCAAGGCTCCTTGAAGGATGATTTTTATTTTCTTTATAGTTTTCTCAAATGATATTTCCTGTCAGAAAGTTAAATGAGGGCAATTTCACTTTCATTGTCCTAAATAATCTTTTGTAGCCTGGGAGAATAGAACTGTCATCTTTCATTGTAACAGCCAGGCAGTTTAATGATTCTCAGCCTTCCTCACCCACCAAATGTCTGATGCAGTCTATGATAGGGGCTGGGGTGCTCATGGGGCTGTGGGCAGAGGACTTGTTTGGAAATGTTTCCCAGGTGAGTTGAGCAGACTTTCTTCCCACGTTACCCTCTGGAGGGCTTCCTGGAAGGCCCCGTTGATTATCAAGGCAAACTGGTTGAAGATGAATGTTAGTGATTTTGTGTGGAGGCCATGTGTCGGCTAGCGTGACTTCTCTGGCGTCTTGGTTCTTGTGAGGGTTCTGCCTGGGTGGGGGCGGGGCAGTGTGGATTGCTGTGTGCTTTCAGTTGCTTACAGTGGAGGAAAGTACCAAGGGAAATGATTGCTAGCACAGTGTCACAAGAAAAAAAAATATAATATATGCTTTTTGGCTAGGTCTATGGTGAGGGATTCAAGGGGGAGGTAGTTATTAATGCCATGGGCAGTCAGAACATTGGAGACTGAGGGGTTCAGGCCTGGTGTCACACACAGATGGCATGGTGGAGCTCTGGAGAGAAGCAACCCATTTGGTAGGAGTAGGGGCCCCTTTTATAGGTCTCTGAAGAAGGAGGAACGTTTCTCAGAGAGACTCTGCAGCCAGGCTGTCTCTGATTCCCCTTGAGGATGAAAAAGACAGCTGTCACCTTAAAGGAAGTAAGAGCTTATTCTGGGGGCTGGAGAAATGGCTCAGCAACTGGGAGCACTGAATGCTCTTCCAGAGGACCTGGGTTCAATTTCTAGCACCCACATGGTGGCTCACAACAGTCTAGGAGACCTGACACCCTCACGCAGACATACATGTAGACAAAAACACCAGTGCACATAAAATAAAAATAAATAAATAATTAAAAAAAAGTTTACTCTGGAGCCCAATTTGAGTGACTGTGGTCCAGAAATTCAGGTTTAGGCTACCCCAGATTCCATGTTCCAATGTGGAAGCAGTTTCAGAGTTTTACAGAACAAAGAAAGTTATAGATCAGAGCCAGTTTAGCATACACTGGTAGGCTTATCAGACTCGTGGATACAGCAAGACGGGGGAAGCCATTCTACAGTTCTCAATGCCATTTGGTGACTATCTTAGCTTTCGGTTTGGTGGAAAGTACGGTCTTCTAAGTGAATGGATTACAAAAGGCTTTTATCTTTTAGTCATGAGTTGTTAGTTCTGACTCAGAGGTGGGCAAGGAAGGGCTGTTTTGGGACTAAAGTCAGCCTGGGCTAGGCAACTTGCCTCTGGAGCTGCCATGTCCCATCCTTACCCATCCCTGCAGTTCTGATAGTCTCTGCAGACACAACAAACCTGGGCTTTTTGGCTAGTGAAAGGTCTCAGGTGAGGGCTTTGCAAGGGGGTGGGGTGGCTTTGCAGACTTCAGGGAAGCAGGGATGGGGGTGCTGCTGGTGGCTCTGTGAGAATGGGGGAGGGGAGGGCGCTGCAGGTACCGTGGCCCAGCGGCAGCCTGGCTTCCGTTTCAACCGCTAGTATCTGTGTACCTGCTAGGCCCACGAGCAGCCACACATTCTGTGGAGCAGTTACTGGGCCATCGTAGGCAGCTGGGTCTCACCCAAGGCTGCTCACCGTCCACTCCTGTCTTTCAGAACGTCGTTCTTTCTGGAGGCTCTACAATGTTCAGAGATTTTGGACGTCGTCTGCAGAGAGACCTGAAAAGAGTGGTGGACGCCAGGTTGAAGCTGAGCCAAGAGCTCAGTGGAGGCAGGATAAAGGTAGGAGGCCTCAGGCAGGCCGTGTCCTCCAACATGGGCAGAGCGAGGGAAAACCAAGCTCCAGCAGGGGACCGCTGAGATTTGACTCCTGAGTTCATGGGAGGATGGCTTTAAAATTTTAAAAAAATTTCTCCTTATTTTTTATTTATTCACTTTACATCCTGGTCGTAGCCCCCTCCCTCCTCTCCTCCCAGTCCTTTCCTTCCTCTCTCTTCCCTCTATCTCCCCTCCTCTACTCTTCAGCACAAAGGAGTTCTCCTCTCCAACCACCCTGGCACATCAAGTTGCATCAGGACTGAGCATATCCTCTTCCACTGAGGCCAGCAAGGCAGCTCCTCCCCACCCCCCAGGGGATAGGGGTCCAGAAGCAGGCAACAGAGTCCATGTCAGATATAATTCCCACTCCACTTGCTAGGGAACCCATATGAAGTCCAAGCTGCCCACTGGCTACATATGGTAGGGGGCCTAGGTCCTTGCATGGTCTTTGTTTGGTGCTTCAACGGGAGAACATCTTTGAGACCACCCACACTCTCTTTTGCAAGATCAGGCATCAGTGTGTGTGTGTGTGTGTGTGTGTGTGAGAGAGAGAGAGAGAGAGAGAGAGAGAGAGAGAGACAGACAGACAGACAGACAGAGAGAGAGATCAAGGTGCTGCAGAGACAAGATGGTTTATGGTGAGGAAATGTTCTCATTAAAGCGAAATAACTGGTGTGTGCAGGGAGCCCAGCCACGTTCGTCCACCACCACGGCTCTGAGCCTCTGGGTGCTGCCTGGGCATCTCCCTAAGGTGGGCTTTGGTAGGGCAGAGATAGCAGAGAGCTCGATGCGGTGAGGGTGCCCGTTGCATATGTTTTAGTGTGTGGAGGTTTACTTTGACCTTGGCAGGCCGTGGGATGCATTTGATTGAAGCCATCAGTGAGGCTGGTTGTGGTTAGTACTGGAAGAGAGGGTCTCAGCGAGGCACGGGCGCTTCCTTCCCCCAGGCTCCCGGGGCTGGCGCTGCCGTATGGCGGAGGCTGTTGCTGGAGGAGGCCGCTGCCCGGCACTGGACGCTGGCGGAAGGACGTGCCGCGCAGACTCAACACGCTTGCTTCCTTTGCAGCCCAAGCCCGTGGAGGTGCACGTGGTAACGCACCACATGCAGCGCTACGCCGTGTGGTTCGGGGGCTCCATGCTGGCCTCAACCGTAAGTCCTCCGAGGGTCCTCCGTCGTCATCTGTGCTGCTCTGCTGGGTTCGGATCAGCACTGCCCAGGACGGTTAAGCGGCGTGTGTTCTGTCCGCATGGCTTTAGACAGACAAAATGAAGGCTGCCTGACGTGAAAACTATTTCACTGTTTAAACTGCACGTGTCGTTCACAAGCACCCTGCTAATTGTGGGTTGTGGACAAACATGGGTGTGTGAAATGTAAAAAGCAATCTAGAACATTCTGGCCTTTTCCAGTGTGTGTGTGTGTGTGTGTGTGTGTGTGTGTGTACATGCAGGGGTGTACAAATTGTGTGAGGAGGCCAGAGGTCAGCGTTGGATATCTTCTTCAGTCTTTGCACCTTTTTTCTTTTTGAGACAGGGTCCCTCACTAGGATCTGCCTCACCAATTAGCCTCGCATGGCTGGCCAGGGCACTGCAGGGTCCCCCTGTCTCTGTGTTCCCAGCGCTAGGCTTAGCCCGGGCACATGGATGAGCTCAGGGTCTCGTGTTTAAGTGACAAGCCTGCACCAACTGAGCCATCTCCCCAGCACCTCTGTGGGCCCTTCCCAAGTGATTATTTTGTTTCTTTATTAATATCCTCCCCCACCTTGAGTTTGATAGCAGCTATTTTTAGCTCAGGTTAACACAGTTTGGATCCCAGTAAGTGGAAACGGAGTAAATTTGCTCTTGTTTTCCAGTGTTGGGAATTGCTGAGTGGATTTTCAAAAGTGAAATAAACGTCACCCAGGTCAGGTCTAGTGCAGCCGTTGGCAGAGGCACCCCTGGATAAGGGTGGCCCCGCCCTTTGCCAAGTGGCTTCCTCTTCCCACCTGCTCGTCTCCCTCCCGCTGCTCCTGCTGCAGCCGGAGTTCTTTCAGGTCTGTCACACCAAGAAGGACTACGAGGAGTACGGCCCCAGCATCTGCCGCCACAACCCCGTCTTTGGAGTCATGTCCTAGTGTCTGCCTCGGAGCCATCATCGTCTGACGGTGTCTTGCTGGGGAATAAGTGTCCTTCAGAACCCAGAGCAGCCACGGCGCCTGTACATAGCAGTGTGGAATGTGTGAGCAGCGCCCGCCCTTTCGTCACCAGTGCGTGGGGCTGGGCGCGCTCTTCCCATTAAGCCATTTATTCAGTGCGACTGTTCGTGGCCCTCCACCCGTGGCTCTCCTCTCCTTCCCCTCCCACCCTCTCTCCTTTCCACCTGAGCTTCTAGTAAAGCTCCGAAGGAGTCCATCATTACAACCTTAGAAACTACTAGAGGAACCAGGATGCAAAGTGGTTTCTCCAGAACAGAATGTAGGGTGGAGGAACCCGGGCCCTCCCAGCCTATTTTTGTAAATAAAATGTTATAAACTTGAAATACAAATTGATGTTTATATTTCCTATCATTTTGTATTTTATGGTATTTGGTATAACTGGCTAATCCTGAGCATGGGCAGGTCTGGATGTCACGGAGTTCTGTACTCAAGTGCTTCATTGTGAGGCATCTTCTGATATGTGTATAGGCCAACAAAGCAGCAGGCTTTCTTCCTCGTGTCTGCTGGGAAGTGATCACATGGTTTTGGGGTGCTGTGATGTCTGAGCACTAAACACTGTTGTGTGAGAGTTGCTAAAGATGTCCCTGAGCTTCCGGGAGCTGTTTTCCAGAAGATGATGACGTACTGTTGCCGAGTGCGGATGAAATGCTATCCGATGTTGTAATAAAAGCTGCTAGAACCTTTGTAACTGTAGCGCTCTTTTTTAAAACTCTCCTTTCCTTGGGGTGTTTAGGCCTCTCCCTCCCTTCCACCAAGCCCCCAACCTTAGGTAGGAGAGAGAAAAGTTAGTGGGGGGAGGGAGCCCAGAGCCCTTTACTTCTCCCAGCTAGTTAGGATCAAGGGGTTCTTTCAGGGCTCCCCCCCAATCTCCGGCAACCGCAGACGCAGCTAGCAGTCTCCTCCATGCTGCTGCGCCCTGAAGTGTCTCTCTCTCCGTCTGTCTGCTCCAAACCACCAAGCTGTCTCTGGTCTCTTGCCTCTGCTCTACGCCATACACCAACATTGAACGCCACCCCGAATACCACACCCTGTCTTTCTCAGCTCTCGTATTTATACTCTCAGAGTCCTAGACCACATCCCTCCCCGTGCTGCATGTGGAGGGCCGTTATCAGATGGCGAAAGTCATGCTCACATGAGACAGTTGGCAGGTATGGATAAACTGTAGCTCAACTAAAATTCCACCCTTTGGATTAAAACAAACGCGTATTTACAAACAAAGAAACCCAAACTTCCATTACATATAGCTGTTCCTCATGGTGTCTTCTGGCTCCCCATCCGTTCAGAGGCACTCTGTATAGGTTTGCAGAGGATTTGATGATCGACACAGGGTGTGGGTGTGTGGATGTGTGTGCATAGGGAATGTCTTAAAAGTGATGTCACTCCGTCCCCAAGAGTGCGTGGATAACCAGCTTGCTGTGTTTTGGAAGGGGTGGGGACACCCTCATGGTATCCAGGCTCCCTTTCCCCCATTATCCTTGCTACTTTAAAAATTGTTATCATAATCCTCCAAGTTGTGAGGCATATTTTACTCTAAGAAAACTTCCCTTTGTAACCATTTGGTTTCACCATTTAACTCTGGAAAGTAGTTTGAGCTTTGTAGCCTCCTTTATCCCCACGTTTGATTCTGCACTTCAGTTACTCATGGCCATCCGGAGTATGAGAACATTCAGTGGAAAATTCCAATAAGCACAGAGACTACATTCAGGTAAGTGCAAATAGCTAAAAAAATATTATTACTGTGTGTGTGTATGGTGTGTATGTGTGGGTACAAGTGCCGGGGTCACACGTGGATGTCAGGGGAGAACTTTTTGGAGTCAGTGCTCTCTTTTCACCTTAACATGGGTCCAGGAATTGAACTCATGTCTCCAGGCTTGCATGTGCCCTTCCCTGCTGAGCCACCCTCCTGGCCCCACATGTAACTTTTATTGTAATTATACATAGAATCTGATCATCTCCCCCTTACCAGTCCACAGAGGAAGACACTGCAACCAGTCCTGATGAGACCTGATAGGCTAGGGCCAGATGGAAGGGGAGGAGGACCTCCCCTATCAGTGGACTGGGGGAGGGGCATAGAGGGAGAAGAGGGAGGGAGGGCGGGATTAGGAGGAGGTGAGGGAGGGGCCACAGCTGAGATACAAAGTGAATACATTGTAATAAATGATGATTAAAAAAAAAAAAAAGAAGAAAAAAAGTTCATTGGGTTTCAGGTCAGCCAGGCACACACATGTAGGGAAGACCCTCACTTGGCTTTTAAGATGGTTCGCTGGGTAAAAGCTCTGCTGTGCAAGCCTGACAGCCTGCACCCACTGTACCCAAGGTTGTCCTCTGACCTTTACCTATGTGCTGTGGTACATATGCTCATGCAGATACACATATATGCCACGAATAAATGTTCCCAAAAGTTAAAACCAGTAGAAAAGCCAACATACATGTATATAAATGTGTATGCACACACATATATTATCGGCGTAGGCAGCACAGGCAGATGCATTGTGGCTTACGATACGGCGATGTACCAATAAGCTGATTGAGAACTGTACATCAAGGGTGTTGATTGCACCTGCTGGACATCATAGCTAAGCCGAGCCTCCCTAGGTGTTCTCATCACAATCCTGTGAACCTACCCGTGGGCAAAATCATTGAACACGACTGCTGGCTATACACACGGGCACTGTGCCGACATGAAAACACCGTTGTATCATGCTGACATGATGCGGAAACTCCTCATAGAGCGGTGTTTCCTCTTGATGGCATTGGTGACCGAGTTGCAGCTTAACTGCTGCCGCCGCGCTTGACAAGAGAGTGTGACAGGCCATGTAGCTAGTCCATGAAAAGAACAAAGTTGGGAGTATGAGAAACCCCGTGAACGATTTAAGCCAGGATGTTGTCTGCGTGTATGAATTAAATGTTGCCGGTCTATTAGCGCAGTGAGGCAGGCTACTCACGGAGGAAAGAGCTTTCGCTAGCTGCCAATCCCAGAGGTTCAGTGGCATCAGTTGGGCTCTGGTGAGGGACCTCTCATTAGCTCACATCATGGTAGGTGGGCCCAGTGGGGAGCGTTGTAGGAGTGAGGGCCTGTACCTGGGCCACAGAACACTGGGCGGGACAGCATTCAGACTTTTGTAGGGACTCAGCCTTGGGCATTACCTCAGCATCTTGTGAGGGCAGAGCTCCCACTGTGATCCAAAGGCCCTTTATGTAATGGGTTCCAGGCGAGCCAGAGAGAGCTACAGCAAGACTCTGACTCAGGCCAGTGAGATGGGTCTCTGAGTAAAAGCTTGCTGTGCAAGCCTGACAGCCTGAGTCTGACCTCCAGCACCCATAGTGGAAAGAGATAACTGATATCTCCAAGGCTGTTCACCACTTGAGGTTTGCACCCCTCCCCAACACTGGCAGCCTGGGGATCAAGCCTCCAACACATGAAGCAAGGGGACACAGCACATCCAGGTCACAGCTGTGAGTATTTATGGGTAAGCTGGGACCGAGTGTAGAGGTGGTACTAACTGTTGTTTCAGACATGCTGGGTGGCATGGACCATATCTCCCATCAGCGAAGAAGCCTACAGTATCCCATGCTGTTTCCTGTGTTGCGGGGATGCGCAACCACAATCTCCCACTCAAGGGTTTGGGACCTTTAGTTGTCTTTCATCCGGACACATTTCTCTGCATTTCCTTGAGTTTCTCCTTAGGAACTTTGGCTTCTCATCAACCTGTGCAGCCCGTGGTGGGTGGGTGGTGCCGTCCCTGGGCAGGTGGAGCTGGGCTGCATATGAAAGCTGGCAGAGCACGAGCAGGGGAGCGAGCAAGTTAGTAGTCCCTCCATGGCTCCTGCATCTGCTGCTGCTGGAGTTCCTGCTCTGACTTCCCTCCATGGTGGACTGTGATGGAGACACATAAACCACACAAGCCTTCCCTCCCCAAGCTGCTTTCTAAGACACTTTGAACAGTCCCCGGAAGCTCCCTTCCAATCTTACCGTCTAGGCGTGTGCATTCCTGTCTGTGCCTTGACCTTCCTCACATAGCATGCTGTGCATTTCCCACGGTGAGTGCTTTTCTCTGCTGTGCCGGCAGCCTCTCTGATACGCCTTCTCCAAGCCTCCAGTGTAAGGCAACTTCTCTATGACAGTGCTGGCACCCATGCTAGCCAAACTAGAGCCAGTGTAACCCAGTCTCAGACCCAGAATGTCTAACGCGTCCCTGTTCCTATTTGCCACAAGATTGCTTTTGAAAGCCTTAGTTCATTTTTTTAAATTAAATTTGGGTGTGTGTATGGTGTATGTATTAATGTGTGTGTGCATGTGTGTGTTCATGCCTATGGAGGCTAGAGGTCAGTGTTGGGGGGCTTCTTCAATCACTCTCTATATTTGAGACAAAATTTCTCCACAAACCTGTAGCTCACCAATTTGGCTAGACCGGCTGGCCAGGGACCTCCTATCTCCGTCCTGACCCTCCTCAGGATCAGGACATGGCCTGATGTCCTGGCTAGGATCATGGCCATGTGCCCCTATGTCTTGACTTTTTGCACGGGTACTTGGGATCCAAACTCAGACCCTAAGGTTTGCATGACAGGCCCTTTACCAAATGGGGACTTCCTTCCCAGCTCAGGGAGCATTTTATTTTAGGTAGTATGTTCCGTTGCAGCAGGACTGTACGGTGCTGTGCTCTGCAGCTCTGGCAAGACACATCTTAGAGGAAGTACGTCAGTCAGAAGCGGGGAGTGGGAATGAACAAGAAAGGTGTCCAAGGCCTATCTACTTCATTTTTCAGGCTCCTAGGTGGAGCTGGGCTGAAATGGTGTCTGCAGGCCCTGACAAGAAGACCTTTGACTCAGAGAAGGAAGTATAAATTTTGGCTGTTCTTTAAGTGAATTATACCTAGTCCCTTCTTTCCTCAACTTCCCAGTTGTTGCCAGTAGGTTTGAACTTAATTTTTTGTTGTTTATTGATTAAAGCTTCCGGATACGATACAGAAAACACAAATATGATTTGGTAATGTGCACTGGTCACGTCATAAGGAAGAACGTTTAGAATTAGGTTACTAATATAAAGAAAATCCCTACATGCTTTTTGTTCAGGTTGACTTAGCCTAGATCATAAATGTAATACAACTCACAGCAAAGTCAAGCTTGCATGAGGAAAAAGCTCATGGCTCCAAGTGAAGTTTCCTGTGGGCAACTTGTGGCCTAGTTTGCTTCTACTGCTGTGTTAAAGACCATGACCAAAAGCAACTTTGAGAGGAAAGGATTTACCTGGCTTTCATGTGCTGATGACAGTCTACCACAAAAGGAGCTCAAGACAGGAACCTGGAGGCAGGAACGGAAGCAGAGGCTATGCTTTACAGCCTGCTCACCATAGCTTGCTCAGCCTGCTTTCTTATACCACCTGCCAAGGGGTGGTACCATCATGAGGCCTTCCCACATCAGCCAATAGCCAAGAAAACACCCTACAAACTTGGCTGTTAGGCAATATGAGGGAGTTTTCTCAGTTGAGGTTCCTCTGCCCAGATAACTCTAACTTGTGTCAAGGTGAGAAAAAAATTAACCAGGACAACATGTCAATCAATGTACTTTTTAACAAGCATACCCTAAAAGTGTAAGCCAGCAATTCTTAGACCTGTTAAAGCATTTTGATAGTATAGAAGTTACTTTACTCTGTTTAACAGGTTGAGGCATGAGCTC